TGTATGAATAAATAAATAAATCTTTAAAAAAAAAAAAAATTCTCTCATACTAAGTATGGTTTGTCTTTATGTGGCAGATGGCAGAATCCCTTAACAGCGTTCAATCATGGGGTCCTAGAAGGCCCCTGAGTCTGCTAACACAATGACAGTTACACTTATTTGCAGCTAATATGCTCACCCAATCAGAGGATCTGCCCACGTAGGTCCAGCCAAAACAGAGGGTGCAGTGTATTCAACAGGCTTATAGTCATTCCACTCAACATGCCAGTCCACTTTCTCATTAGGAACCCAGATGCGCTCAACTTCTGAACCTGGGTAAGGAGACATCCGAGCCTTGATGTGGTAACTGTCGTTTGCATCACAAGAACCAGACATGATGTTGGAGTTAGGACGAAACCAGCAGGATGAAAATAAATTTCTGGGCGGGGGGGTGGGGGTGGAGGGGGAGACACAAAAAAGAAAAATGTGTTACATAAAATCAAAAAATAAAATAAAATAAAGAACCTAGTTCAAAGATCCAAAAACCTACTTTTCAATATCAAAGAACTAACTCAGAAAATTCAAATTTGAAAAAAGAAAATTCAAAGTTGTGGTTGATTAGTATGAAGGCCAGTATCTGTTGAGAGTATTTTTAGACATGAAAACTTTTAAAATAAAAACTTTATTGACACCTAATCACTAAGTTTATTTAAGCTGAGGAAAGGACACAGAAGTTTACAGTTGTGTCATATTCAGGAAAGGGAAGTTTGTTATAAAAACTTAACTATTAGGGCTTCCCTTGGTGGTGCAACGGGTCAAAGCACCGCATTATGAAGCTCTCCCAGGCCACTGCAAGCGCGAGCTCGATACCCAAACAGAGAGCTGACACACGTGGCACAGCAGAACTCTTCTGACCCACCCGCTGTTCCCCACAGCAGTGTATTTCAATTCATCTGCCTGTTTTGCTCCCCACTGTCTTTAGTGAATCCTCTCACCGGCCACACCTCTGGCCTGTACCCCAGTTCTGTAAGCATAAATAAATCTAACTTTAAAAAAGAAAACTCAACTATTAAAATAAATGTAGGGCCCTCCCTGGTGGCGTAGCGGGTTAAAGCACAGCACTAAGAAGCATAAGCCACTTCCTCATGAGTTCCATCCACACCTGCCCTGGAGGAGATCCACATGGCGTGGCAGACCTCTCCTGACCCGCCCGCTGCTCCCCTTAGCAGTGTACTTCGTAGATCTGCCTGTTCTGCTCCCCACTCTGTCCCTGGTGAATCCTCTCATCCTCCGCATCTCTGGCCTGTACCCAGTTCTGTATGAATAAATAAATAAACCTTTAAAAAAATAAAAAACTTGACTGGTTTCTCATTAAGTCTTGGTGATTAAATTCTTAATGACCTTAAGAACCTCTAAAATAGAAAATGGAATTCTGAGAACAGGGTAAACTGGTAATGCGCACTTCACTTATTCTCACAAAGCCAGTTTGCCTCTCTCGACACAACTGGTTGATGCAGCAAACACCAATATGATGTGGTAACAGAATGAGTCACCATGATATGCCTTCTGATACCATAACTGAGAAGTACACAGTGATCACTTCTAGAAACTCCTTATAAGAACATGGAACTTGAGTCAAACCTGAAATACAGAACAGAACCAAGATAACTCACAGAATAAAGATCTGGACTCATAAAAAGATTTGGACTCTTTAAAATGAAACATGAATGGTAAAGTCAGAGGACTTATTCCAGATAGATCAAAACTAGAGAAATAAGAAAACTAAAGGCAATCAAATATTCTGGGTTATTTCTTGAACCATAAGGGGAAGGGAGTATAGGGAAAGTGGTGAAATTTAAATAAAAATAATTTTTTTTAAGTAATGTACAAAAAGTTATCTACTTACTCTCAAAGAAAAGCTTAGGATCAGATGACTTCAGTAGTCAATTCTATTAAACATTTAAAGAATTATTGCCAGCCTTGCCCACACTCTGAAGAGCAATCTGACCATGATAATTATACATTTATATCCCTTAACCTAGTCTATTTCTGGCAAACTATCCCACAAAAAATAAAATACCCAGTAAACAGATGTAAAGTATGGCTCACAACCCCACCACTTAGTGGTCAATATGGAGAAGTCCATCCCTAGAATGACACCCCCATTACATGTATCTGGCCAGTGCAGGGAACTGGGCCCCCTCTTAATAACGGCTGTCCAGTTTCAGGAACTGCATCCCCATCAAAGAGTACAGCTCCAATCACCAGGAAGCCATATGTTCAAAACAGACACCCGCTTGAAGACCTTACAGGTGCACATGAACAGACTGGACAGGCAGTCATGAGCTGGAGAGGAAGAATGCCCTTCCATCCTCCCCCCAACACTGGACCACGCAGGGGGTGGAAGTGAAAAAGTGGGCTGCCGGGCTAGGACCAAGGTCTCTTTCCAGCCCCACCCGGGTCCTCCTGGGGTTTTAGGTGCCTAAGGTCCTCAGGCTGCACCCATCTCCAGGTATAGCATGCTGAGAGAGGATATATGTGTGTTGTAAACAAATTTGCCCTTTGGGAAAAAATAATAAAGAATATTTGCTTTAGCAGTATTCAATGGGAATAATAAGCAATAAAATGAATGTCCAATAATGGGAATGGTTTAATAAGTTATAGAAACATTACACCATGAAATATTGTAGCTATTAAAAATATTATCAAGTGACCTGTCACTATCATCACAAGGAACTACAAAAAAATCAAGATACAAAAAATGTATATGATTCCATTTTATAAAATGACAAAAAATTGGCCCTCCCTGGTGGCGCAGCAGGTTAAAGCACTGCGCTAAGAAGCTTAAGCCACTTCCCCATGAGTTCGATTCCGGCCTGCCCCCGGAGGTGACCCACATGGTGTGGCAGACCTCTCCTGACGCCCGCTGCTCCCCTCAGCAGTGTACTTCGTCGATCTGCCTGTTCTGCTCCCCACTCTGTCCCTGGTGAATTCTCTCACCCTCCGCATCTCTAGTCGGTACCCCAGTTTTGTATGAATAAGTAAATAAATCTTAAAAAAAATTTAACAAAAAAAGACAAAAAATTTTCAAGTCATACAATTCAGTGTGTGTACATTATATATTCATTCTCTCTTGCCATAACAAATTAAGTGAAGTTATGAGTTAGTGAACCAAAACAATGTTATTATCTTACAGTCTGTAGGTTATAAAGTCGAACTGCACTGGGCTCAAATCAACATGTCAGCCAAGCTGCATTCCTTTTTGGAGACATTAAAATTTATCCCGTTGACTTTCCCAGTTTCTAAAGGTTACTCCCATTCCATGATCACCTTCCTTCATCTTCAAAGCCAACATCAAATCTTTTTCAGGAGTTTGAGCGACCCTCTCTGACAACAGCTGGGAACAATTCTTCTTTTAAAAACTCGTGATTAAATTTGGCCCCTGTGGGTAATAAAGGATACTCTCTGCATTTCAGTTTTCATAACTTTACTCACATCTGTGAAGTTTCCTTTGCCATAAAGGCAACATAATCACAGGTGCCAAGGACTAGAACGTGGAAATCTTTCTGGAGCCATTAGACTGCTCACCAGAAATGCCAACATAAGAGTACAAGAAAATACAAGAGGACTGATAACATTGGGCTCTTAACATGGGTTAGAAAATATGATACAGATGTGGGTAAAGAGAAAAGGGCAAAAGAGAAGGAAACAGAGGAAGGAAAAAAAGGGGGGAGACAGAAAAAAAGTGAGTGGAGGAAGGGAAAGAAAAAAGGAAGGGGAAAACAAAAGGTAAAAAGAAAAGAGGGTGACATGTAAGGGGTGAAAAGGAAAGAAAAGCAGAGGAAGTTGGAAGGGACAAGAAAGTAAACAGAAAAAAGAGAGAAAAGAAAAGCAAATACAAAACAAAAATATCTACCCAAATATAATGATCACTAAGATCGATTTAGGTGACTATATTTACCTAGAAAGTTAATTTTAAAAATATTAAAATACATTTTGGAAAGCAAAACCAGTTCTTAAAACTTGAAGAAATGCCATATTAATAATGGTGCTTAGGAATAAAGCAAATTTGACACAATACAAATAGCCACAAGAACAGTTACATGTATATGATTACTATGTGCATGACACCTTCCTAAGACATGTAATACATTACAGCTTAAGTCCTGAAGTTAGTGGAACTATATGATTTTAGAAATAAGACCCAGAAACACTAACTTAGTTTACCTAGGTCACACAACTGATAGTGAAATCAAGCTCTAACCCCAGGCAATCTGACTCTCAATCCCAGGTTCTTGAGATTATGCTATATTATATCTATCTCATTTTTTTTTTAAAGATTTATTTATTTATTCATACAGAACTGGGGTACAGGCCAGAGGCTCAGGGACGGTGAGAGGCTTCACCAGAGACAGAGTGGGGAGCAGAACAGGCAGATTGACGAAGTACACTGCTGAGGGGAGCAGCGGGCGGGCCAGGAGAGGTCTGGCTCGCCATGTGGTCTCCTCCGGGGCAGGCGGCAGGCGGGAATCGAACTCATGCGGAAGTGGCTTCAGATTCTCAGTGCTGCGCTTTAACCCGCTGCGCCACCAGGGAGGGCCATCTATCTCATTTTTAACTCACACTTTTTTATATGTATTCATGAGTAAAATATATATATATTCCCCAGCCAGGTCACTGATAAATCCTGTTGGGAAATGTGAAAGCACTCAAAATAAGTCCTTTTATGTTATTTATTTTCTAAAGCATCAGTATTCCAACTTTCTAGTCAAATCACAACTATCAACTGCAAAACTGTCACTTTCTGGATTTGCCCAAATTATTAGAGATAAAATTCTTGATAATTTTCTTTTGTTTCTTCCAGGATACCATATTGATTGGCTTACCTTTAGCCTCTTTTTCCAAGTCTACAAAATAGTCATCATTTCAGATATATCCTACTTGACTTGGCATCCCCAGCATTATAAAAAAGTGACATCTGGGCCCTCCCTGGTGGCGCAGCGGGTTAAAGCACAGCACTGAGAAGCTAAAGCCACTTCCGCACGAGTTCGATTCCCGCCTGCCTCGGAGGTGACCACATGGCGAGGCAGACCTCTCCTGACCCACCTGCTGCTCCCCTCAGCAATGTACTTCGTCGATCTGCCTGTTCTGTTCCCCACTCTGTCTCTGGTGAAGCCTCTCGCCACCCCTGAGCCTCTGGCCTGTACCCCAGTTCTGTATGCACAAATAAATAAATCTTTAAAAAAAAAAAAAGTGACATCTATCAATAACGGCAGTTACTTCCAGAGAGTATAGCTGTTTATTTCTTCCCTGCTTATAAACCCCAATGAAAAGAAATAAAGATATATAAAAGGCAATAAATTCCACAGCAGGAGTGTGAACAGGGCACCAGCCCTATATGAAAATTTTAGTTAATTTCAGGAAGTTAGAAAGCAGATGAAATTATATTGCGCTAGCTTGCAGCGCTGTGTCCTAACCCACTGTGCCACCGAGGGCCCTGAAATTATATTGACCTACAAACTAGAAAACAAATTCTATTTTAGAATATGAACAAAAGAATAAAGAAAGGACAGAAGCCATTTCCGTATCAGGAGGCCTAAGAAGTGTGAAATAAGTGGGCAAGGGAGACAATAACCAGGGAAATCAGTCTTCTTTTCTCCAAATAGAAAGCTGGCAAGACTTAAGTTTGTGCCCAGGATAAAGCTAAAAGTTACCCCAAAATGAAAGCACAGGATCTCTACTGTGAATATTAGGGAACATAATAGAATCATAAGGTTAATACCTCCTCAACTCTCACTGGAAAAAAAAAATTAGATTGCTGTGCTTAGCAGAGAAAACTGCTCCACTTCCGTAAAAGCCTGGAGCAAAAGGGGACAGGAAAGCTCCTAGTCTGCTGACCCGCTACTTTCACAAGCTCAAGAGAAGCCTTTCATTTCAGGCACCCTGGGGCCGTGAATCGATAGGTAACCAGTCCTTCCATTTAAGCAAAAACAATGTCTATCATGTTCATTAATGGAAAATATAAATCTGTCCACCAGATTAAAATAACAGAAACATTGCCCACAGGAGATAATTCAGAATAACAAGATGCTTTTTCTATTCTAAATGTCACTTTTTTAGATTCAATGGACTTCTGTATCCATAAAGTAAGATTATGAAATCAATCAGTGGGCGGAAAAGTTCTTGTCAACATTACAAGTCAGGAGAGGATGTGACTAACAGGATGCATAGAACTAAAGTCTGAATTAGTCATCTACACAGGAAAGTGGAGAAAAACCTCTTAAGAACATGATGCATTTAAAAAGAAGAAGAAAATTAAAGAAAAAGAGAAAATGAGGTTCAACAGCTATTACAAGATCTCCAGAACAAAGAGACCAGGACAACACGTGAATGGGGTGTGATAAGCGGTGAGAATAGAATGTCCTCGTGTTGAATCAATCCAAGCAAGATTAATGCATACTCCAACACTTGTAGCGGAAGCACCATAAAATTTGCCACTATTCTGTGCCTGGCAGACTCAGCATTACTGAACAAAGAATAAAAAGGAGAGACAAAAATAAAAGGAGACTGCGAGATACAATTCCCAACTTACCCAGCGTTGACAAATCTAGAAAAATAGGTAACTTTGAGTTAGTTCGAGGGAGGAATGACGATTTATCCTTTTCACTTTGCACCACTTAATTTACTACTTACTTATTTAAACTGTGGATGTATTCATTTAATAACACTTTAGTATTAACTGAAAGAACGGCACAGGATATCATTACCCAAACAAATTCCATTTAAACTTTTTGGGGATAATAATGTTGGTGACCTGTGGAAAATGGCAAAATGCAGAAAAAAAGGCTAAGTAAGATCACTACCACTAGTTTTCCTCAAAAGGCAGTTGAAACACTTAGGATCCGACGTAGTACATCCTAGGAAGGCGGCTATCTGGAAGCTAGTTCCCTCCCGCACCCCAAAGGTTTAGAAATTGCCGGCGCCGCGAGGAGGGGGAATACCTGCACACCGAGATGCTGTGGCCGCCCGATGAACTAACAGTCACAGACGCCAAGGCTACAGAGAGCGACACGGCGGCTAAAGTCTTCCCCAGGACGCGTCTGGACATCTGCGCCCTGAGGGGCGCAGGCACGCTAGACTTCGGCAACACCTCCGCCCGCCCCAAAAGCGCGCGCCAGGTACCCAGTGGTTCCCTAGGACCGGACCGCACTTCCGCTGCCCAGAGGGGTAGTTAAGTCCAACTCATAAACACACCCGGACTGGACGCCCTCCCATAATAAAAGCTCGGATTCCACCGGGGTGACAAAGACAACTAATTTTTCATTAGTCACGAACACGCCCAGCTCGCGGCAAGCGTGGGGAACTGCAGGCCAGGCCTGCGGCGGCGCTTTAGGGTCCAGCCACAAAGCGCCCCGCTTCCGGTCGGGCGTCGTAAAGCCGACATGCGCACCAGCGCCGGGTTGCCTGGGGCGTGGCCAAGGGAAATTAGGAGAAAGAAAAAGGGGGAACCCGAACTTGAATTGGGAAGGGGAAGAAAGGAGAGGATCTTGAGAGAAATAAATTTGTTGTCGTGAGTTTTGGGTGTTTTTGGGGGGGGGACGGGGGGGGGGGCGATGGGAGGCACAAAGGCAGCTGTTGTGAATTATGCACGGCCTAGTCATATGGTTACTGAAAACGAAACCTGAGGAGTCCAGACGAGATTTGCAATCCGTGAATCTGAGGTTTTATTCTTCCTTTTTACTGTGTGTTTACTTCGATATGTAATCCACAATTTCAGAGGGTGGGTATCGATCGACACAGGCATAACACTTGGACCAGTTCAAAGTCAAACTTGCCAAACTATTACTCTGAAAACTGTAAAACTCGTGGCACTTACCTCTATCCAAACCTCTGTTCTAAGAGTCTTATCCAAACTAACCTGGCGGTCAGCAGTTTAAGGTCTTGTCTCTGCTTTTAAAAAAATAAAGACCCACCCCCGCCCCCTCTGGGAAAACACTTTCAGGAGAATTTAGTGTTTGTCCCAGGCAAAAGCTGACGGTAAGCAGATAGACCTCAGAGCCCTCTCTAGTAGTTTCTTTATAAAACTTTCTATGAGAAACCTCTGCATTATTAATGTAAATCTTAACAGGGTGGTTCCTAGGTAGGGGAAGTTCCAGGTTCCCTGCCCCACGCAGTAGTAGGGTGGAGCTGAGCAGAGAAAAGAGAAGAGAAGGAATCTGAAGAGGGAGAAGGAAGCTGAATAGAGAGCCAGAGGAAACCTGAGGAAGCCACATGGAGCAGCAAGCATGTGATGAAGAAATCGTGTTTGTTTCTTGAACCCGGACTGGCTAGGACAGATGTAAGTGAGATACCTGTGGGGAAGTGACTATGGCAGTGTTTATATTAATTTTGATTTTGCTCTTTTCCTCCCAGAGTCCTCTGGCCATTTCTGACCCTTTTCTATGGATCCAGTTCAGAAGGTGCTCTAGTCTTGTGGAGGGCTTTCAGGCCTTGCTTTGGACCAATCCCTTTTGGGTTGACTTTTGCCCACGAGGGGATGATTAACTTCAGGTGTTTGATTTAGAAATTATATTCTTTGTCTTCTGTGTTGTATACTCACTGTATTAAAGCCTTATATGTTTTGTGTTGATGCGGTGGATGGCAAAACCTATTTAGAGCAGGCAGGTTTAGGGGTTCAAAGGTGGCCCTCTCTCCCTGCCCTGTAACAAATCTCCTACCCAGAAATGTCTCCTCAAGTACTTATGAGCCTGCCTTCTTGGAGGCTAACATTAAGAGAAAGGACTCATGTCCCAATCAGTGCAGAAGGACAAAGGCATCATTCATCAGGCTGATTTCTTTACTTTGCACTATTTCCTCCAGCCCCAAAGCTGGAAGTTTGTTTCTCCTCTGATAAGCTCCAAATAACATGGGTTTCCCACTCACACTTCACACCCTCAGTAACTTTCCTTCAGTACACTCCAGCCTCTTAAAAAGTCCCAGTCTTCTGTTTTCAAGGAAATGGAATTCAGTTCATGGTGAACTCTTTCCTAGTGCAGTAATGGATGATGGAACTCCCTGGGCCCACCTGCCCGCACTCCCCCAAACCCTACCCCTACCCCACAGTGAATGTGGATTCTCTTTTACATAGCTGCTGTGGGAGGCAGATGTCCACTACTATACCAAAGACCTCTTTGCTTGCATATATAGTGTTGGGTGACTGGACCCAGAACCAGTTAGAGAAGGTCTGACACAGTGACGGTTTTTTAGACGCTTGGACCAGTATTACTGACTAAAATGTGACACTGTGTAAGGCAGGCTGTGTTACAAGGTTCAGCTCCTGGAAGTCTGCTGGAGAAAAAGTGTAAGGCACTGAGATACAAAACCTCATTAAAGAATGTGAGAAGCAATGCAGTTCTCCGAGGAAGTTCTTGAGAGTCTGCTGACTCTACATTCCTTCAGGGAAAGTCACAGTGGACTTTGTTTAAATGACTACACTGTCGGAGACCAGCTCCAACCTTTGGGGTGTCTCGAGGCAGCACAGGCAGGACCCTAAGATGGGAAGGTGTCGGCGAGCAGATATTCCAAAAGGGGAGACAGGAGCGGGTGCGAGGAAGACACGGGAGTCAGGATAGAGTGCAAGTCTTCCTGCTTTTCCTTCAGCAGGTCTTTATTTATACTGTGTAG